CAAAAATACATCTCATTGCTACCCTGCCTTATAAGCTGAGAACCAAGCTGACCCACTGCAGGTTTCCTGCCCCTAGAGAAGTCCAACAGCTCTCAGCCTCTGTTCATCTACTGAAGGCAATACAAGCCCAGGCAGGTATTACAGCTGAGTGCCTTCACAGCACTATGTAAATACAGATGTAAATAAGCTTTGGCCCTCAGACTTATGGCAAGTTGCAAACATGGTCCCTGGTGTTATGAGGTGTCTACTGCTGCACACACTGGGTGCAAGCCTTCAGACCCTTCCCGAACTAAGATTCTTGCTGAAGGCAGGGATAAATTTGTCTCTGTAAGGGACAAAGAATCAGGTCAAAACCAGTGTACCTGCTTTTCTAAGTGACCACTGCACAAGGCTCGTGAACGGAAGGTTGCTAAATCCCAGAGGGCACTGACAGGTGACGGGATTCCAAAATGAGAAGAAACTCCACTTTAGGAAACCATTACTGCTTGTTGCAGACAAGGCTGGGTAATGAAGAATTAGCACTGGAGAGACAGGAAAGAAGTAATCTTAAAATAATTTTTTAATTCTTTTTGTGCCCAAGCAAGGCAAATGTAGTGGACACACACAAACAGTTACTGTCTCACACACCTGCAAAATCTCTGTAGGAGAAATAAACACAAAATTTGGAGTACAGCAGAGTAAGGTTATATTCTAAAGAAGCTGGGATTTTTTCCTTGGACATAATAGTGTAACAAAATAAAAGACTGCCACTTTTATCCAACACCCTCCTTACAGCAATAATATGTAAAATCCAAGTGTCCTTCTGAACCTAGCCTCTTTATTCTTTCCTACATAACTGAAAAACAAAGCCATTTGTGCCTGTAACAACCATTTATAAAGTCTTTAAAAATACACTTCAATGCCTTTGGCTTTTCATCATTATTTTGAGCAGCTTAAGTCAACTGGGAACAAGATTCGTGGTTCTCATGTTCTCGTGTTGTAAGAACACAACAAATCAAGTTCTCATAGCAGCAGTCTGCCCTACCAAAAGGGGTAGCTTTAATATCAAGGAGAAGAGAAACATTTCGTATCCATAATTAGATAAATAATACTTCAGGCAAGATATGGCACCTTTAAAAGTGCCTTTTCAGTCTTTGATTTTTCTCTGCTTGTTACTACAGAAACCATCTAGCAACCAGAATCTAAGAGAGACTCCACCCAAAACAGAGAAAAACAATATAGACAGAGTAGGCTTTTCCTCCTCCTTTTTTCTCCTCCTTCCCCCCCTCTTTTTTTTTTTTTTTGGAGAGGGTGGGTGAGTGCTAAGGAAAAGTATCGTACTGTGCAAAGGATAGGAGCATTTTGCAGGAAGTTGAAACATTAAAGCTCTGATTACAGATGGCAGAAACGAAAGCAGGGAATGAGTAATGAGCAATGAGAAATGCGTAATGCGGGATGAGGATATAATTTCCACACATCGGCTAAAGAGAGGTTTATACTCTTAAGCAATAAAAACAAACCATTAAGCCAGACCTGCACTGTCAGGAAGTATAAAACAGTTCTTGAAACTCTGCAGTTACTATACAAGAGCTTTTCATAAACTTTTGTTTCCTGATCTTCATAAAACATGAACATCAAGCTGCCATATGGCAATTAGCTGCCTCCTGAAATCAATAAACTCACCCCACCTCACAATAAGTTCAATAATTATCCTCTTCTAATAGTGTAGCAAAACAAGTCTAATATAAATGCAGTCCAGATGAGCTCCTTCCTCAAACCTAAGAGCACAATAAAGCATGCTCCTCTCCAAGCCTCATCAGTACGGATTGCACAAGCAAGACCTCTAACTGACTAGCGGGGGGAAAGCAGGTGACAGACCGTGGACACCCAAACCCAATTGTCATATGAGCAGGAAAGGTCTCAATGCCTGACTATGATGAGCCCAGGTTAGCGCAGCACAGCAGATCCTGATCGGTGAAAATGGCCCATGCTCTCAGGAGAGCTTACCTCAACTGAAGATCTTCCCACGTCATTTTTACATGTTGCTGACCACAGAAGTCCAACTGAATTTTGCGTAAAAATTATCAAGCCACTCGACAAAGCTGTTACTGAGTCTCAAAAGGACAAGGAGAGATGCTGATCACATTTGTGCTTAGAGAGATGCTTATCTGAAATGCACAAAGGGTGACATTATCTATCACAATCTCTGCCTGTATAGATTACGTAAGTGCCTAGAAGCAATAAGTTTAGGGGAAACAGGCTATAGGGTAACAAAGGCAGTTTTGCCTTCCAGACCCGCTTTTTCTCCTCTTAAGAGGAGGGGAAAAAAAACCAACAAGCTCATTGCTTCTTGTAGAGTACTATAACACTAATAAGTACTAAAGAACTAAAGTAAGTACTGGAGTACTCTGGTAACAGCATACCTTTAGTATTTAGGATTATTTAGCAGTCATTACCAGACATAGATGATGTCAGAAAGCCCAAACCTTTCAGAAGGACTGTCTGATCATCAACTCTACTTAGTAGAGTTCAGGAATGCAACTGATCTCTAGGAGAATTTTCTGCTACTCATGTATGAAAGTTTGTTTTCTTTTTTTTTAAATCCTGAACAAATTAGTCAGTGCGACACTCTCACATCTCTAATCTAGAGAGAGAGGTTAAGGATTTAAATATACGTTATGAAACCAATTCTGCAAAAATTTATTGACGTGCTGAGCTTGACACACGCATATTTCCTCCTCAAAATCAGCATGGAACTGATGATTCTGTGACTCACACTAAGCACATACAGAAATGCTTACAAGAGTGGGTCCTAACAGGTTTACCATTATACATTGGCCTCACAGTGCATTTTACTAAGGATGCAATTCTTTGTCAAGCAACAGAAGGTTTGCCTTTACTAAGGATGCGGCATCACGCCATGAGCCATCTACTGCTCATGCATAGACAAGCGCTGCAGCCAGTTTTTTTTTGAAACCAGATTAGCATCACTGTATTCTCATGCCTTAGAGAAGTAAAGCAGTGACCACTCTCTAAAAAGCCTCGCTCAATCTAGTTACACATGAAGGGCTAGGAGCTGTGAAACTTAAGCCTCGCAGCACTGGAGTGTAGGATCTGGTTAGAAGTGCCACGAGGTCTTCACTGATTTCAGCAGGTTTGGGACCATACCTTTCCTGCTCATAGAAATTGTGCAATCTTCAATTTTTCAGCACTTTATGTCCAGCTTTTGCAAGCTCAGGTTAGACAGTACACTAGCGCTGCTGCATAGCCATGCATCGCAAACAATCAATGAATTCTTGAAGAACCTTCACTGCAGCATATCCTATGACTGACAACATTCCCAAAGCAACAGCCATAAACTCACTCATCACCAGTAAATCTGGCAACAAGCAAAAGACAAACTGAACTTCTGCACATATGACGCTCCCCTCTAAAAACATTAGCCAACAAAACAGCACTGGTCTTACGAAAAAGCAAATAGAGGATGTCCACCCAGCGAACTTTCAGGCTACTATGTAGTTATCAGCATGACCAGTAACACCAGCTACTTCTCAAAAATAAGTTCTCTACTAGCTATTAAAAATACTGCTGGTACAAAGAAATATATAAGTTTTTATGTCGCCACAGAAGCATGCAGCTAGCCTAAGATATTTTTAAGCTCACAAGAGAAAAATGGAAGCAGCCAACAGGAAATTATTTTTTCTCTCCTGTCCTCTGTCCATTGCTTTTTGTGATGATTAGCAGTAGAGAACTGTTCTATGAGACGGCCTGTAGGACATCAAGTTAGCCATTCTGATCAACAAGCCTATTTAGTACCTTCCCTGTAACCAAGATTATTCTGGTAGAAAAAGGAGTTTGGGGAGAGCCATGAGAAAGAGGAGGTTTCTGTCAATCAAAAAGTTAGGCTAGTAGGAGGCCCAAATCGGAGACTCCCAGAGTTGACCTAGAGAGGTCTCCGATGGGACAGCTGTACACATGGCTTTAGGAAGTGTTGCCTCGGTTCACCAAATCCAGCAATGGATCCACGACAGAGCGCAAGGGAGTTCTGACATCTCTGGATGTATCAGCACAAAGTCATTCTATATCCGGTAAATACAGTGGAGAGCTCCCGAAATAGGCAGGAACTTACCACCAGCAGTCTAACACAATTTCATTCTGTTTCTGGCTTCAGTGCACTTTGCAGCGGACCACCAAGAAGCCAATTCAAGCTACTTTCCCACTCTACTATTTCAGCACAACTTTCACGCAACAAGCAACACATCCTCCACATGCTCGTCCCATGTTCTACAGCTAGTAACCTGACTGCCACACCAGTCTTTTAACATACAGCAGACACCGTGTTAGCTTTAAAGCTATGCTTGCCAACTGTAAATCATACTTTTGTCCCTTACATGAAGGATTTAAAAAGTAAGAATATGTAAGCCCAAGTTATCTTTGTGCTGACTGCACAAGTGAACCATTTTTTCTTACAAACTGGACTTCTCAGAAAGAAATATCAAAGTTCTATGATTTATTATCTGAAATAGATTTAAACATTTGGGGGCGGTGGGGTGGGGGGTGGAAGCTTTCAAACACAAAACCCTGGAAAGGAAGACAAGCTAATCTGTAAAACAGCAAAACCGTCAGCTGAGGTTAGATAGGAGACTGCATACAAGAACAGCTCACTGTATGTAGGGCAAAAATTAAAGATTAATTTCACTGTAACACTCCACAGAAGTGAGCTTTCATCTGAGGTGAGGAAGTATGCAACGCTTTTCCAACTGTTAAAAACAAGGGCCGGTACAAATGAGATAAATATTCCTTTGTAGCCTACATAATCACAAAAAAAAGAAAAAAAAAAAAAAAAAAGATGACATTTTAGTTTTTATTATTTTATATTTGGCCAGGACTTTTAAAGGAAGGACTTTCAAAGGAAACATCAAACATTCACTTTTCTGTAGGTCTAGAAAGGATTCAGTCTGCCCCCGCCCCCTATAGGATTTCTATTGGCCCTTCGTATATCCACACTGCAAATTAGTTGGGAATAGCAGTATTTATACTAGATCAGCAACGTCTGGTTCTTATCCAAATGTTCCACCTAAAGAGGATGCCAGTTCTCATGGATTGGACAGCCCACCCTGCAGCATTCCTGAGAATTGTACAATATAATAATCTTGAAAGCCAGCAGAGTGGATTATCCACTTTTTTCTGGACTTGAACTTGTGACCTTAACAGTAGCACAGCAGAAAGCAAATGTGCTATGCACTTTGCCATAGTAACCTTCCATGTATTCTTTTCAATTTAAATACACACAATTGAAACAGCTACAATTTTTGAAAATTATGTACAAACCCTATATTTTTTTTCTTTTTGATTACATATAAATACAAATTAGCTATTCTTCTAAAAAGTGGTTATAATAGTAAATAAATACAAAATAAGAATCTGACCATTATACTTCATGTGCTGGGGTTAAACCCATATAAAATGTACAACTAAAATACATTTAAAATCTTTAAAGGAATATTTCTCTGATTAAAATATTTGTTTTCCCAACTTTTTCGTAGACATAAATATATTTTCAAAATAGTTGTGTTTTTTTTCTTTCCATTTCATTACATAAATAAAGTCTTCATTGGGAAATATTAAAGTGTCAGCTTTTTTTTTTTTGTATTTGTCTAATATATTTGCTGTGTTAGCGGCACCCACAACCCTCCACGACCATATCTTGATAGTTCTTTAATACCACTTTTTCATTCTCATCAAGGTAGAGCATGGAAATAGCACTCAGTTCTGTCGGCACACAGCAAGCCTTGGGGATTTTGGAATTCACTGAATTGACCAAAGTCTGAACAATGGCGTGGTTTGTTGAGTTTAGGTGATCTGCCAGTGGAAAAGGACATTCCCCATGGCAGTAAAAGGCACTATACCCTGGCGGGGCAACAATCCAGTCATTCCACCCCACATCATTGAAGTCCACATATAACGGATGCCTTTTGCAACTGTATTTGTGGCGTTTACGCTGTTTGTGTTTTGCTTGACGCTTTTCTCTTTTATGAAGCGGGTGTCCCTTGCCATCATGCCCAAACGTTACTAATAACGGCCTGAGCTGAGACCAGCTATCTTCATCCTGATGTAAAGACCTGCTAATCCTAACGTGCCTCTTGGAGGCACTGTTCTCTTTGTCCAAGTGAACCACCTCTACCACAAACCCATGATTAGGTTGTCCATGTGCAATCCACCTCAAAACAGCTGGCGTTACATCAAAACTTTCCCATTTACTTGCATTATGATGCACCAACCTGGTGTCCAAAAGTCTTGTGACAGGGTCCTTAGAGGTGGCTGTGGCTGGCTTTATAATTTCATAAATATTAATACGGTGATGGTAGCTGCTGTTGTTCTCAAAGGCTCCGTGCACCTGTTTCCGAAAAATCTGGAGTTCAGCTGAGGTGATAGACTCCTCATTAGGGATGGAAGTTAAATTAAAGAAGAAACGCCGTGCTGTTTTCCCACTTGTTTCTGGCAGTTCTTCCAAAACTTCTAATTTGATTAAACAGGGTGGGGGGAAAAAGAAAGAAAGAAAATCAGGAACCGAGACAAGCAACGAAACCTCTCAGATAAGTGTGTTGTTGGCAACTTTCAGATGACACCTAACGCATGTGACTTACAAGATCTGAAAGACTTTCAGGCAGAAAATATCATCTCCCTTGTCTTTCTGTTTATTTCTGCAAGCACATATAGCGTGAAGTTAAGAATGCTTCATTCATTGTTATGCATTTTGACTGAATACTGGTGCCCTTTGCATTCCAAGTGGTTATAATAAGCAGCAAGAAACACAGAGCATTACTTCGGAATTCAAGGACACTAGTGAGAAAACTCAAGCACTGTAGTTAGTGGACATCTGATGAGAATCATTAGCACTGATTGAGGACTTAGGGTAAGTACTGCATTTCTGCTTTTTTCAAGAATATGGCTCTAACATGAAACTCCATTCTGAAAAATAATACTCTACAGTTTAGGTGACTTACAAATCTTAACATATGGCTTTTTGTATCTTCATTAGAGACAGTGAACTCAACATCTGTAACGGCACTTTATGAAGCACACCCTAGTATTTACCCAAAAGGGCCATAAAGAACAGCTGCTAAAAAGGGGTGGATAGTAAAGGGATAACGAAAAAAAGTCGCTTCTGAACAACAAGTTTTCAAAACCACAAAAAAAAAAAATTAAAAAGTCACTAAACCCCAGGCCATTCTAACCTCTGAGTCAAAAAAATACTTGAATGGAGCTTTGGAGGGAGTAAAATATATCTAGGGTTGCTAAGAAGTACGTTGTTGCTACAGACTTTGAAGAAATTAAAAGTATTTGCCAAAACAAATCTCTCTTAAATCGTGGTTTTTAATTTTGGTACTAAAGTACCCCGGAGAAACATTCACTTTCTAAGGGAAGCCATAACTGCTGTTAGCAGTTCTCACTCATGTAACCGTTCCCTGTTGAATCCAGTATGACTTTTTGCATAAGGTGAGGCTGAGCTTTACAGTATTTCAGCACCAGACCAACATTTGTAAACACGCAGATGTTTTGAGTGGTCACAGAACAAACTTCTGCTTTCAAAAAGCCACTAATACAGAGTGAGAACTCAATGAAAAAAATGGAGTCACGTTGATCTTCTTCTCAATTTTGTGAAAATTATAGAACAGCTTTCATGTCAAAAACAGTCTTTGCTATAGCTGTTATGACTACTTCAAACTGCAGATTTTTACATTTGCCTAAAAACCATAAACTTCACCTTTTCAGCTCCTTTCTTGCTCAGCCCCTTGCCCACCATGCTCAGGTTTAACCTGAATAACCCATGCACCAGCTTTTCCCCATTCACTGCCAGGTGTTTACTCTCCACATAGGGAAATGCAGATGATGAGAGGTTGTGTTTCATCATTCATCTCCTTTCTCACGATAAGGCTTTCCACTAAACAGCACACCCATTTCTCCGAGGCCACCTCCTTTACCCGTCAGAAACATTAGATACTAACAAATCTCTTTCTCAACACAGCTACACATAAAGAGCATGGGAAAACTGCATTTTCACGACTTCTACGGCGAGGCCATGCGTGCCAGCACCAGGGATTGACAGCCAGGAATGATTACAACCTGGGGAAACGCTTCCCGAAGAGCACGCGAGCGACACGCGCACCACCAGCACCACGGGCCTACCAAGCGCCGTGGCTAACGCCGCAGCGACCGCTTTGGCTACGCCAGCCGGGAAACGCACCCGGTCACTCAGCGAGGGCCTGTCCCAGAGCATCCGCTGCCTCGGTGGGCTGCAGGCGAGGAGGGGCGGAGGTGCTGCTGGACACCCTGCTCTGCGTTTGGCCAGGTTACCTGCAGGAGAGAGCCGAAACCTGGCCGCAGGGCTCCTACCAGACCAGGCGCTGGCGGCGGGGCAGGCGTAGCATGGGTGCGGGCTAAACC